GCGTTGTGTCATGTCCTGGCGTTGGAGAAACCTGACGCAGCAGGGGAACGCTTTATCACAGTAGCAGGTTCGTGCCTTTTATTTTGCACTTGCATCACCTTATGAACGTTTTTCTCTTAGGATCTTCATTTGGCAGAGTGGCGTAAGTCCATCAGTTTTATCTATATCGGTGATGGATTGACCTAAATTGGAAATTTCAAAAATGTTACAGTCGACGCATTGAACTCGCTGCCGACCAATCCTCTCCATCACATCCGATAGCCAAGGGGTACCCTGAGATCACTCAGGGAGAGAAGTTCTACTCAGTGGCCTATGACACGACTAGGCCGAAAGTATTTTGGGCATCAAATGGCTTTCGATAGTGGATTGCACGAGGGACACCCTGATTGAATTTGCGAAACGGGGTTGGTAAGTATGCATAGAGTATATATTTGTTACTGCTCCTATATTTTATACGGGTTACTCGAGAATCTGTCTTTTCGGAAAGGGTTCAACCGGCACACTCAGAATGGACATCACGCAGGAGCATTGACTGTCGCTTTCTGTAAAGCGACAGCGGTCTGGGATAGAAGGCGGCCGTTCACAGTCGCACCAGTGTTTAGTGTGATTGAGGTCGCACCCAGAATGATGCCGTTGACGACAGATGTTGAGCCAAGGGTCACTGCATCAGAAACGACCCAGACAATATTTTTGGGTAGCGCGCCTCCAGCGAGGGTAACCTTTACGGCGGACGCAGTATTGAGTGTGCCCGCGATTTGGAAGATCCAAGCTGTTGATTTTCAATCAGAGTAGTCAGCGCCTTAGAATATAATATACTGATAGTGCGTACTGTCAGTGCTGCTCCCGGAAATAGTGATGTCAGTGGCAATATTGACCCCGGAAGTCCACTTGTAGAGACCAGGCGCAAATGTCAGCCCTCCGATATTTCCTAAATAATCAATGAAAACAGTGAGCGCTGATCTAAGAATATGAATCGATGTATCGATACATACCGGCGCCGAGTCCAATTGCAGTAGGATTTACGCGTCCCTTGGCATCATTGAACGCAGCGATGAGTGCGCCGACGGAGGTGGTTAGGGTTGATGGAGTCGGGCTCTTATAGCTTGCGGCCAGTACTTGCCCCGTCACTTGGGTAGACGACGAGAAGGTACCAAGTGGGCTGAGGGTGAGCGAAAAGCCAGTGACAAAAGTTGATGCCGCGGGACTAAGGCCCACAGCGCCAACTGCGTAGACGTAAGTTATTGACGATTTCCAAACACGAGATAAAAATATACGCACGGACGGCAGAGGGTGGGACGGTAGAAACACCTGATTTAGCTAGGATAGCGAAATTCCCTGCAGCCCCGAGAGCAACCGCAGGTGGCCCTGCGGCGAGGCAGCTTGACATGCTCTAAAGAAAGTGAACGATCATGTTAGAGTCATCCTTTTATTATACGCTCATAAATCTTACCATCAATGCAATAGAAGCAAGCTTGAGGAGAGTAATAGGAGACATTTATGGGTTGTGAATGAGCAGAAGCTTAAGAGAATTATACTGAAGATCATACCCCTCAATCAGAGCCCCCTTTATACGAGTTGAGATTTCTACAAGACATCTCAGAACTAATTGTCATCGTCATCGCATTACGCTGTTTACTTGCAGCGAACTGTCGAGCGATGGGCCTATTGAAGTGTCCAGTCCCTACTCCGTCACCGGAGTCATCATCCAACATCATCGTCGGACAACAATCCTTTGTACTACAACGACTTTTGGAAGGTTCCAATTGGTCGAACGGTGCTAGCATCTGTTCGTTTCATTAAGATTAAGTCACCCGAGTCCTCGTTGATCTACATCCAGTAAGAAGATCATCTAAAAACATATCTCATGGAAAGATAGTCTCATACAGGCTACACCAAGTTCCTCGCTCAGTTTATAAAATTCAGCCCCGGTCCTGATTCTGGTGAAAATTGCCTGTTATGATTTTTATGGGTACTTCCCGGTAAACGAAGAAAGAGGCGATTACCTATGTGACCTCGGAATCATTCCTGGGCCTGGGGCTCATAGTGCCACATTGACGGCGGTAATCAGATACCATTCTTCGATGTCACTGTCATTTTTGATTTAGGAGGCGCAAAAAGCCGCCCAGGAAGCTTCTTTGCATGGCATTCCAAATGAAGACTAAAAACACCTGTGGAGTGAAGTCAGAACGATTCTTTGAATGGTGCTTTTTACTTGAATAACCAATCCGGATCTTCGTTTTTGGACGGATGGTTTCCGAGTCATTGAACTGAGTCCGTCGAATAGTCCGCAGCGAAATTGCAGCTATAAATCATCTGCCTCTGTTTATCAAAATCTATTCCAGCCTGAGAAACACTTCGCACATTTTCTGCAAGCTACACGGTGAATTGACTCTGCATGCATAGAAAATGATGGCCTCGGAAATATTTGTCCCACATTTACATCTCTAGAAATTTGTAACGATCACCACCCCCTCTTTGCAAAGTCCTCCAGAGTGTCCTTGGTCGTTTCTACTTTGGTATGGAACTTGATGCCAAAGATACGGCGTTCCTTGGAAGTGTCATACGAGATTAGATATTTCTTCTCGCCTTTGAGAACGTCGGGGTCGCCTTTATATAGAGGGTGGCTCGGGAGCGGGTTCGACGGTAAAGAGTTGGCAGCGTCCACTAAATATAAAGATCAGCCGCCTGAACGGACCCCCAAAATCTGAGAAAGGACTTGCGCCATTCCTGCCAAATATAGGGACCTGAAAACGATCGAGAAGGCGAAGAATCAGAGGCTTATTCAGAGTGAGCGTGTGTATGTCGACAGACCTTCGGAGACGACGGTGCGCTCGCCGCCAGCCGCGTCTTTCTCCAATGCCAGGACATGGCTCAGCGCGATGTCGCGCACGTCGACCCAAGCATTGGAGCCGAGGAGCGTCTCTTTCGGGAGAGGCTTGGTGGATGTGATGATGTCCCACCAGATTTGGAGGGAGGTATTCAATGACGCGATGGATGTGACATCATGGATCGGGGGCTGTCAATGTAAGGACGATAAGAGGGATGAGCTAAGGAACATTGGGATGGGAGTACTCACGCCGAAAACCTATTAAAAACCGCGTCCGTGAGTCAGCGGTGCACCGAAGGTAGATTACAAAACATACAAAGGGAGGATTGATCACGGACAAGTCCCACTTGATCTCGGACTGATGCTGCGCAACGAAATCCCATGCGCCTGCAGAAACGGCCCGCGTTACTCAGCCAATCATGGGAAGATCATACCAAGTGCTCACTTCTCTCCGCCAGAGTTTTGGACGCACGGTAGATAGTCATGGGGGGCGTCTTATCGCCTTGTTCTTGGACGACCTTTGGCGCGTCGAGATTCCAGTCTTTCTCGCTGTACACGGTGGGCGCCGCAGGCGGACTCATGACGGCGGCGCAGGATGACGTGACGACGATCCTCTTAACCCCAGATCTGATCATGGCGTTAATGAAATTGAAAAATAGGAATGTTATTTTAACTTGCGTACCCGTTTTTGAGTGCGCTGGTAAGCATCCCAACGGTGCCTTGTACGGCGGGCTTGATGAATTCTACGCAGATCGTTCAAGTCGAGATGTGGGTAAACAAAAGATGAGAGATACCATCAGGAGTCTTCGCCTTTGCATGGAACGGAGAGGCGGTATGTGCAATAGCATCCACGCCTTTGACCGCCTCGTCGAATGCACCCTCCTATACACCTATCTATATCAGTCCTTTGCGTTGAAAGGAGAAGGTCGTACCTTTCGATGTCCTCAACGATAACAGCCTCGAATTTATCTCCATATCCCAGGCCTTCGAAGTACGCTTTCATAAACTGAGCTTTGGAATCATTGCGCACGGTGCCGCGCACTAATAGCCCTGCTCCAGGAGATGCGCACAACCCACATGGCGATGTACCCGTTTGCTCCAGACACGAGGACCTTGTCTCCCTTGTTGATGGTCGGCATGTTGGAATTAAAGGATAGAGTCGAGGACGGTTTCCAGAATTCAAAGTGATATCTAATCAACCCAGGACGTCGCTGAGAAATCAGGGGTATATGCGGCGGTTGCCGAAGCAGAGGGAAGAAGACAAACCATGTGACTACTATGGCGCGACGCGTGTGGAGCACGTGCTGTCAAAGGGCGACGCGCATCAAGCGCATCAAAAATTCAAAACTGCAGATTCAATTGCAACGCTTGTCTCCGGAAATATTTTGAACGTTTTTCATTATTTTATTCCGATACCCCCAATCCTTCAAATAGTCTGGTAAAACATCTCTGTTTAATCGGCCTGGTCGATCCCGGATGACTCGTATAATTTTGCTCCGTTATTCTGTTTGTAATTTCTTGGGGAACGGGCGTTCCCAACATCCTTATCCTAACCTTTGACCATCAAACCGCACTGCAATCGTATGTTGTGTTAAAGGATAACATGGGATGCCGTTGATGTAATTATTACTGCTTCTATTTGCTCAATGCAGCGCTTATTTTAAGATTCGAAGATCCTACCAACGCCATTGATTCACTCTAGAGGTAGCCTCGTCAATCTTCTTCTTCCTCTATGAGTGGGCCTAAGGCTCTCACTCTGATTTCGGGCTTGCTATATACACAGTCAATTTCTCTATAAGCCATATCTGGATCTGTTTCAGCACTCGGGCTATTTCTCGCATTGATTGTCTTGAGCTTTGGTACGGGGCAACCCCATGATCGGGAATGGCACTTGACTTTCAGCTTCAATTGGTGTGCTATCACAGTTTTTCGTATGCATTATTTTCTGACTGGACAGACTGGTCTTGACCGGTTGACTCTTGGGGTGGGGATCGGCAAGGTTTCGAGAGCATTCTTGACGCTTGTCAATTCTGTGATGACTCGCGGGAGTGCGGAATAAGAAGAATTGAATTATGTGCAGAAAATCAAACAGTACTAGACATTGGACAATTTGTTTAACTTTGGTGGTGGAAAACAATTGATTAAAACATAACCACCTGGGTTTTACGTGGAACTCTCTGTCTGGGAGTCGAACCCAGCTTTCGCGCGCACCAATGGACGATGCTTATCGGATGACAGGCGCGTGTACTAACCGATATACTAACAGAGATTACGATTTCAATCCAATAATATATTTAAATACAAGGAGGATGGTCTTTTAGCAACTCGAAAATTGTGTCCCCTTATCACGCGCGTTCCTTCTTGCTGTGCCAAATGAAACGAACATTTACAGCGCACGGGTGAGCGCCTATCTGTCTTTTCGAGAATGCTACCGCCCACCACCTATCTTCCCTCCATAAAATCCATCGCTACATATCCAGTGGACACCCTAGAGGATGCGCTGCAGTATCTGCGTCTCATATACAGCCCGCCCGTCGCGGCTCTCGTCGGCGCTCGCCTACCGATGCCACGGAAACGACGAAATCGCGGTGGCGCGAAGACCAGCTCGCCGCCGAGGCGCTGCGGAACGACACCTTCGAACGCGCGTACGCCATCAAGTGGCTCAGCGCGCTGATCGCGCAGTGCGGCGACGACGGGGAGGCGAGGAGGAGCAGGACCCGGACCCGGCGCCGGACGCAGCTGCACTGGCATCCGATCCCGCCACACCCCGCGCGCCCCCGCCGCGCGCAGGGCTGCGCTCGTCGAGGCCGCCGCCGCCCTCCTCGCGACCTGCGCCGGTACCGCCGCCGCGGGCACGCTCATCCGCCAGTTCCTCTTCCCCGCCCCCTGGCCCGCGCCTGGGCCCGACGCGCCCCCGATCACCGTCGTGCTCACCGACGCCCCGCTCGACAACCAGGACTACGGCAGCGTCGGGGCGCAGACGTGGGGCGGCGCGTGCGTCATGGCCGAGATGATTGTGGACGATCCCGGGGGCTTCGCGGCTTCTGGCGCGAAGGGGAGGTGCTGCCGACTACGTTGCGGTGTCTGGAATTGGGCGCTGGGACGGGCCTGGTGAGCTTGGCCGCAGGCAAGGTCGTCGAGCGCCTCGCACGCGCAGAATCCGCACCGGTCCACATCGTCGCCACGGACTACTACCCCGCCGTCCTCGCCAACCTTGCCCGCAACGTCCTCGCCAACTTCCCCGCCCCGAAGCCCTCCCCACGATCTCCACCGCGCGCCTCGACTGGGCCACATTCTGCGATTACCGCCGCCGCCGCCGCCAGGCGCCCGAGCCCGTTTTGGAGCGACCGTTCGACGTGGTGTACGGCGCGGACATCATCTACGAGGCCACGCACGCGACGTGGATCAAGGCCTGCCTCGCGACGCTCCTCCGCAAGCCCACGTCATCATCATCATCATCCCCTCCGACGACCCGACGTTCCACCTGATCGTCCCCCTGCGCGCGACGCACGCCGTCGAGTCGGGCACGGTCGAGCGCGTCTTCCCGCCGCACCGCGTCAGGGACGGCGGAGCGCCGCACGACGGCCCAGGCGAACTGGTTATGAAGCACAAGCAGATCATCGTTTGCGAGGAGGCAGAGAGTGGTCGAGAGGAGAAGAGGTCGAGTACGCTATACAGGATCGGGTGGGGTTGGTCATGAAAAACATTACATGTTGGGGAACTTAAATTTTTGGGGACTTTGGCCTACGTATCGAAAAACTTGCCAAAAAGAAAGTATTCCAAGGCATCCATAACTCGTTACACATAGATCGTTAGAAAATAAAAGAAGACATAATATCTTATCCTCCAAAACCAACCACCACATCCACATCCACACCCGACACCCGAACCCAACCCCCCAATCACGGATTCAGCGCCAGCAGCGCCGCGCGGTCCTCCCGCACCGCGTACAGCAGCAGATACCCAGCGGCCCCGCCCTCCGCCTTGCGCTTCAGCGCCGCCTCGCGCACCTGCTGCGCGTACGCCGCGTGCTGCGCGGGGAACATCGCCGCGATCGGCTTCCACGCATCCTCGTCCGTGATCCACGCGCACGACGCGCCAGCGCGTCGAAGTGCGCCGGCGCGACGTCCACGCCGAGCACGGGCATGCCCGCCTGGAACGCGCCCTGCAGCGAGGTCACTTTCTCGAAGGCTGCGTGGGCGGACGGCGGGTTGTTAGCGACTTCGGGAGAGGGGATGAGGAGAAGGGAACGGACCTTTGTTTTCGAATAGTGATTTGGTGTTGCTCTTCCGCTGCTTCTTGGGATCGGTGAGGATGACTTGGACGAGGGGTTGGTGGCCGTGTCTTTGATCACAGGGACGTGCAGGGACGGTTCGTTGAGGGCAGGCGCACCGGACGTCGTCGCATCGATACGCTTCTGTTCTGCGATCTGGTGCTGCAGCCAGCTCACCAGTTCCTGCTCGACACTAAGCACATATTGTCAGAGCCATATTCACCAGGAATATTGAGGGATTAGACTTACGATCGACTTCCGTGCCTTTGAGGATGCTCTTCACTTGAATCCCGGCAAATGTCGCACCGTGCGGGGCGCGGGTACACCGTAAACCTGAAATACGAGGTCAGCCAACGAAACAACTCGACGACGGCTTGAAAAGCAAAACATACAATATCCCCTCCCTCGCACAAATATCCAAATGGTTCTCATGCTCCGTGTCCGGCAGCCCAGACTCGTACATCAGATCCGCACTGATACCGTTCTGCCACAGGTACGACACCACTTCGAGGCGCTCCTGCAGATACCCCGGATGGTACGAGACGACGTAGACGTCGCACCGGCGCGGACTCCAGAACCCGAACGACCGGTCCTCTTTGACGAGGGTCTTGATCGACGCGCTTTGGTAGGAGGCGAGCGCGGCGGTGATTTTCTCCACCGCGATCTGGATGCCCAGCGCACAAATGGGCTCTGCCTTCTGCTTGGTCGGGAGGAAGCGGGAGATGAGGTTATCGTATCTGCATTTGCGTCAGCATTCAAGGAGAAGTTGCTCAATGAAATGACACTTACCGGCCTCCTGCAGCCAACACATCCGTATGCTTATTGCGCTTAACAACCTCGATAATGACACCGTCCTTGAGATGCGTATTATGACTACCCAGCATCAAAGGGCGGAAGAAAATTTGCCGCGAGACGCCAGCAGAATGCGCGAAACTAATCGTGTCCTTGACTTCTTGTATCGCTGATTGCATAGCAGCCACTAGAGTCGGCGCGGTCTTTTCCAGTTGCGCAATGATGAGATCCACGTCCTCTTCTGCAGCATAATGTCGTTAGCTTCAAGTGATGTTCATAACGGAAGGTAGACTACTCACTGGTATCTGAAAGGATCTCCAGTTCGTCGACTGTGCTACGCAACAATCCTTTCTTGAGAAGAATAGCGCGTCTCTGGGCAGCAGAAGATTTGGGGTGGACGAAATCATGTACAGCCTGACGAATGTCTACAGGAACTCGATTCATGACTGTTTCAATGACTGTCAAGGTCAATAGCGTCAGATGAGAAGGGGCGATAAGATCAGGGATCGGACTTACTCTTCGAATGCGAAATGTGGATATCATAGTTCTGCGACAGATTTGGGAAATTGTCGAGGCAATCGTTAACCACGGCGATGAGTTCCGCACCAGCAGCTATGGGTCCAGTTACTAGATCCGGACTGATGATATCGAATAAAGCAGCTTTGGTATACTGTGGATGACCTGAAACAGTGCTGAGAAAATAGGCGTTAGATGAAGAACTCGCGATATGAAGTAACCAACGTACTTTGGCCTGAAAACGTTCGCAATATGATACCTCTTGATCCGCTTTATGCTCTCTCTCGCAGCCAAACGCGCGAACGGAATCAGAATATTATTGGGCAGCGCCACGATATCGCCATATTGGTCGATGAACGTCGCATGGGTCTTTTCCTCTTCAATATCCGTAATAGGCATGAGCAGAGGTGGCTCCATATCGACGGCCCCGTGGAGATGGAAGATCGCAGCCAGCCGATCTTCGACGATGTTGTTCAAGGACGCATATTCCGGCGATTCCAATAACGAGTCATAGAGGTAGGTTCTGGTTGGGCGAGGAGGTTGCTTGAAAAGCGTGGACAGTACGGTTTGATGGTACGGAGAGTCGGGCTTGGCTGCAAGTGAACTGTGAATATGTAGCCAACAAAGAAACCAGAACCCGACCCACCTATGAGCCGGAGTGCGTTCTTATAATAATCGTCTTCTAGCCTCGTAGGCAACAGTGGACTTTGAGAAAGCTCAATCGCCGACGGCCGCCTCTCAGGCTGATGCTGCAAGAGCCAGGTGATGACTTAGAAAACGTCAGCATTTTTCAGAGCGATTGGGAAGAATGACATAACGCACTCTCTTTCTGTCTGATACGATGCGTATCCCATCCAGATGGGAATGTGACGCTTGGCTTGCGCAGATCCTCCAAAACCGCGATACGTTCAGCTCCTGTGTTGAATTTGAAATTCATCTCGAAAAAGACGATCTAGAGGACAGCGTTCAAAATAAATTACTTCAAGTAATTCATAAAGTTGGCAACATACCCGAGACTGTACATATCGGCCTTTGAATGGTCCCTGGGACCGCGCCCACGTCGTCGAGACTGAACTTCCGGTGCGATATACAAGCGCGTCCCAACCTCTGCGTTACGCATTAAATTATGCGTTCAATATTGATTAACCCTGAAAACACACCTAATGTCATATCCGCCTCCATAATCACAGCAGGCGACGCCACGTCAGACGGGTCGACTGCGGCGAGACTGGAGGTGGCCAACCCAAAGTCGCCAACTTTACAATCGCCTTTCGCATCTAGAGGGCATGGTTAGTCATGTGCGACAGGAGAAGCATCATCGCACAGAACGCACCGATGAAGATGTTCGTGAGCTTGATATCTCGGTGCAGGATGTTCAGCGTCGACATATGCGCGAGCGCATCGACGATCTGCTGGAACAGCCGCCACGCCTCGTCCTCACTAATGCCTTCGTCCACGCGCTGAAGGAAGGAAATCAAAAAGGACGCCGTCAACAAAGCCCCGCCCGAACGAGGATCACCCACCTCTCTCAGCGTCTGCCGCTCCACGAACTCCATCTGGATATACAGCGTCCGCGACACCGGCGGCGCATACTCCGGGCCGGCGCGGCGCGCGGCGTCCGCCCCTCCCACCCCGCGTCCCGCCTCCCCGCGCCCGCCGTCAGCGCCAAATTCAGCGGCCCGCTCGCG